ATTACGATATAGATACAAAATTTGACTGAAATATATATTTTATGTACAGAAATTTTGCTTAAAGAATTTTTTACGATCGGTCTATAATTGGTCATATCTCCCATACTAGGTCCTGCCCCTAAAAGCGCTTTAACCGTATTTAACTAGTTGCATTATCAATTTGTGTAGAACAATATATATATATATATATATATATATATATATATATATATATATATATATATATATATATATTACTTTGAAATATATATATATATATATATATATGTATGTATTTTGAAAATCCTTAAATCTTTCACACACATGCATACATGCACATTATTAAATATCGTTAAATCATATCTTAGGGCGCTATAATCACTTAACGCACATAACTCATTACAAAATATAGATATCTATACATTTAGCACAATTATTGCTCTTACATACATAAATTACACTATAAAATTGTTTTGTGATCGGTCCATAAATGGTCATAGCTCTCATACTAGGTCCCCTCCAGAAAATCACTTAAATGCAGAATATTCATTGCCAAATAATGATATAGATACAGAATTTTGAAATTTGGTCTTTATATACATAATTGGTCATAGCTCCCACACAAGGTCCTTTCACGAAAATCTGTTAAACGCACATTACTCATTACCGATTAAAGCTATTGATACAAAATTTGGCACAAATATTAGTTTGGTACACAAAAATTCTATTTCAAGATTTTTTCACGATCGGTTCATAACATGGTTACGGTCGGTCCCATGCAAGGGAAATCACTTGAACACACATTACTTATTACTAAATTACGATATAGATACAAAATTTGACTGAAATATATATTTTATGTACAGAAATTTAGCTTAAAGAATTTTTTACGATCGGTCTGTCTGCATTATCAATTTGTGTAGAACAATATATATATATATATATATATATATATATATATATATATATATATATATATATATATATATATATATATATATATATATATATATATATATGTATGTATTTTGAAAATCCTTAAATCTTTCACACACATGCATACATGCACATTATTAAATATCGTTAAATCATATCTTAGGGCACTATAAAAATATAAAAACAAATGGGGCTTGTAATGTTCAATAAATCTTGGAATTGTAACAGCTTTAAGCTGTTTAAATCTTGGTGTTTTTCTATTTAAGACATGAGAAAACTTATTTCTACAAATATTTGATCATTTAAAAAAGTGTTAATATAAAAGTAGCTGGTGGAGGGTATTTAAGATTCGGCTCAGCCGAATATAGCACTCTAACTTGTTTCGTCTTTGTTTCTCAAAAATATATGTATCTATTTATAAAAAAGTATGTTTAAAAATATTATTTTTATTCATTAGCTTTTATGCATCCACACTAAAGTTTTGGATGGATTTAGACACCACTTATTAAAGGTTTAAAGATCAAATATCGTTATATATACAAAAAAGTTACCCAAATAATTTGTTAATGGTAAATGGAAGATGTGTGCTGGAATTATTCAAAATCATTATTTAATTTGAAAAGCTTGGAATAAATACGGTTTACGATAAAAGAATGGCAACCGATTTTATATCAAGATAATTTTTGATGTTTTTTTTTTAACTTATTGCAGATTTTTATTGTTATCTCGATTTAACAAAAAATTTAAATTTTATATTTGTGTATGAAAAATATGAGTGATTACGGATCTTTATTTTTTCTCGAATTGAGAGTTATTTAAAGTAAATTTTTGAAGAGTTATATAAAGAGAAATTTTAAGGGGAGATATAAATGATTTTCTAGATGGATTTGTAGATTTAAATTTAAAATTCGAATTTTTGTGAAAAATGTAATATGAATATATTATTTACCCTATTTTATGAGCGGTTTTTGTTCAGTACTGCATACAAAAGTGACATCGTAGACATTCATTCAAGATCTAATATAGTTATAGTTTTTTTGTTCAGTACTGCATACAAAAGAGGCATCGTAGACATTCATTCAAGATCTAATATACATAGTTTATAGTTTTCTCTATCGTAGGAAACTACATCCGATTCTCTTTTAAAATTGTTATTTTCTAAGGATATACAGCAAATTAAAGGTTTTGAAATAAAAATAGTTTACCGGTGGAAAATATAAGTAATGGGAGTAATATATACAGATCTACAACAATATAACTTTGATAAAAAATTTCCGATTCTGTATTAAAATAGTTTTTTTTTGAGGATATGCAGCGGATTACAGGTTTTGAAATAAGAATAGTTTTCGCGTGGAAAATATAAGGGATGGGGTATACGAATCCACAACCGATTTTACGCTTTAGATGAAAATCGATTTTTGATAATAAATTAAATTGATTACAGATTTTTAAGGACCTACAAACATTTTAGAGTTTTCAAATAAAAATAAATTTTTGATAAAAATTTTAACTACCTAAATAATAATTCTCATTAACTATAAGAAGTTATATCATGAGCATTATAAATGTAACACAAAATGGACGGAAAAAGGTCATTGCATTTCATTAAGATTATAACAGTCCGAAATTAGTGGTATAGGTGTATTTTTTCGAATTTAATTTATTAAACATTCTCTTCCTCAAACTAACCTAACCTTCCACGATAGAACTGTTGTCATGCAAAATTTCATGAAGCATAAAATCCAGATCAAAAAGTTGATTCTAAAAATACACTGTCTGTTGCCAAATTTCTTGAAAATCGGTTCATGTTTTTTTATATTTAGCCTAGAAATTTGGTGTTATAGCTGTTATTCAAAAAGTGAACATAAAAATGTGCTTAGCATCCAATCAATATCATATAGAGTTTTTTTTAACTTCAGAGGTTAGACCTATTAAATGCCAAATTTTATGTAAATAAGTTTATTAGTTATGTTGTGAAAGAGTAAAAAAAAGTCTCATATATATTTATTATTACATATTATAGGTTTTGAAGATGTAATGTTTCGTACTGTTCATTCCACAACATTCATTATAATAGATTTCATGAAAATCGGATCAGTAGTTTTTGTATGCCTGAATGTAAATTTGGTTTAATAATTGTTTTATGAAAATGAAAATTTTCTATAACAATTATATAGAAAAAAGTGAGCATAAGATGAATCGTGACGTCAAATCATGATTATATATAGCCTATTGTTCTACTTTGGAATAGAACTATTAGTGTTTTAAATTTTATGAAAATCGGTTCAGCAGTTTTTCCGTGAAAGGGTAACATACATACTTTCTCTTTCATATAATTATAGGATACGATATAGGTAAGGATAGTTTTATAAAAAGTGGGCGTAGAAAGGATCGGATCAAGTTCTTATATATAGCCTATAGTTCTTTCCAAGCTTTTACCTTTCGGTATGCAAAATTTCAGATTGATCGGTTTAGTAGTTTTTGCATATTGTGATTGCAAAATTGGTGTAATAATAGTTTTACAAAAAGTGGGCGTAAAAAGGGGCGTGGCATTCGATCAAGATCTTATATAGCCTATTGTTCCTCTTGGGGTTAGACCTATTAGCGTTACAAATGTCATGTAAATCGGTTCAGTAGTTTTGCCCTGAAAGCGTAGCAAACAAACAGTCTGCTTTATATATATACATACATATATAGGATGTCGTAATTCCGCTATATGGGCTGCACCGTGGTACAATTGCCCAGATGAACGTTGTTGAAGAGAGTTGTCAGATGTATATACGAAAATATTTTGAATACACATTATGACCACCGTGTACAAAATAGGTCTATAAAACATTTCATTATATATTGTTTTTGTTGCAGTAATAATGAATATTTTATATTTTTAATTACAATTGCTACTATTTTAAACTGTTTGTTTTTTATTTGTTTTAATTCTGAAGTTATTTATTGTAGTTTAATATACATATCTACCAAAATCGCAAATAAATTTATACATCACATTACAACTCTTTTCCATAGTTACCTGGTTAATTCTATCATGGAAATGATAATCATCTTTTATGACGTATAATAGGTTAGTTTGTGCAAATATTAGGGGATTCGTACTTACATACATCTTTTTTCATAATTTTAATCATAAAATATAGTTATAATTCTTATAGTATTATACTTTTGAAAATGTATTTATTTTTTTTTAAGTTTTGTTAATAAATAAATGAAAAAAAATGAAATCTCAGTTTTCGGTATTTTCAAATCCGGATAAAATTCGACATGTCTTCAGTAGGATTGGGAACAAGTAAGGGGAGTATTCCAAATGAAGTTAATGAAAAATTGGTAGAAAGTATACTAAAAGGTGTAAAAATTAATTTACGCAATAAAACTCTTTGGAAAAATAATAAAAATTCAAAATTGCAAAAAAGTGGAAAAGCAGCGAATTCGCTGCTTTTTGTTTTGATTTGATTTTGTTACATAATAAACATAAAATAAATGACAGAACAAATTTTTAGATTTGCAATATTAGTTCAATTTTTATTCCACTAAAAGTATACAAAGTACTCATATTTGTTCCCTACTGTATATTCTGTGAATAGAAAATTCATATTGGTAAATGTTTTTAGAGTTGGCCCATTATTGGTCATAGCTCCCATATAAGGTCATCGTTTCGAAAGACTCTTAACCGTATATAATTCATAACATAATATGGATATCGTAGTAAAATTCTACAGGAATATGTTTTTTAAATAAAGGTTCGTATCCAAAATCACTTAATATAAATTTTTAATACAATATTCCGAGAAAATTCTGGGTGATATGGAAAAACCGATATGAGATTTTAAAAGTTTTTACAAACCTTCATTTCATTGGCCAGTGTAATTGCGATACTTCTTTGTTTTTAAATAAAACTAATTTCGGTATTCTTATTTTTGTGATTAACTGTATATAAAATATCGGAATGTTAGAAATTTATTAACGTAGACTTAAATTTTATTTGTTATAAAATTTTATTATACAATTTAAAGGAAAAAATAAATTGTATAAAAAATTAAATGTAATAAAGTGTACTTTTCTTATATTTACAGAACTCATGTTCGGATACATACCGGTGATAGACCCTACGTTTGTCCTTTTGATGGTTGTAATAAGAAATTTGCCCAATCTACAAATTTAAAGTCTCACATTTTAACACATGCGAAATCTAAGTAAGTATTTATATATAAAACTTTATATTATATATTTAACATGTTTTAATTTAATAAAAAATGGTCAAAACAGCTACTACAGTAAATATTTATATGTATGGGAAATTTCGTCACAAGTGACAAAACTTTTGAAACCGATGTCTTCCGATTGGAATTAAATTGGTAGTAGCTTAGGCACAATTTTCACAATAAGTTTACTTTCCATTTGTTATTTCTATAAATCATTTCCGACCCTATTAAATATATAAAATCTGAGATAGCGGAGTCGAGTAAGATATGTCTGTATGTTTGTTGAAATCATTTTTTTGAAGACCCCAGATATCTTCGTGACCCAAATCTTCAACAATTCAGACATGCTTTTGAGAAGTGATAAGTCCATAAAAAGTGCGAGACAACCTCTCAAAATTCCATCATAAATTTATATTTTTGGTGCATGCTTAAACAAAAATAAAAGAAGTTAGAGTGCCATGTATATTCGGCTGAGCCGAATCTTAAATACTCTCCACCAGCTACTTTTATATTAATACTTTTTTAATTGATCAAATATTTGTAGAAATAAGTTTTCTCATGTCTTAAGTAGAAAAACCCCAAGATTTAAACAGCTTAAATCTGTTACAATTCCAAGATTTATTGAACATTACAAACGCCATTTTCTTCTATATTTTTTAAGGATTTTCAAAATATATATAATTTTGTTCCACACAAATTGATAATGCAACTAGTTCAGGCGCGGATCCAGCTCAAGCGTTTTGGGGAACTGTTTTTTGGCTCGGTATATATTTTGGAAGTGACGATTTTACTTGGTTTTGATGACTATACACAATCTTTGATATAAGAATCGAAACTTTTTGACGATTTCGTATTAGTTTTTAATTAACATAAACCAGGACATTTCAAAAATTCTCAATTTTTCAGATTTTTATGAAAATTTGTATACACATGCTATGTATAAATATTAAGTTTAAAGTTGTTCAAAATTTTCAAATTTATTACTGTTTAGATTTTATCGAGGACCAAAGTTTATACTTTTAAGATTTTTTCAAGAAGTATAACAACTTCTTGAAAACAATTTGGCATTATCGATAACAACTTAAAATTGATTAAAACTTTTTGTTTTACTCAAAAAAAAAAAGCTTTATAGTCGCTTTATGGGATGGGACAGTAAATTGCCCATATATTTTTGTAAAGAATTAAAAACTTAAATTGATAATTTGTTTCTATTTTTCAGGACAAAAAAAAATAATTTTAATTTTGTTTGTCCTGAAAAATAAAAATAATTATCAATTTTATAATTTCATTCTTTATATGGAATGATAACATTTTAAAATGATATTTCCATTTTAAGAGACCGTACTACTTAATTTTACGCCCAGTTACACAGGGATACAAATATTTGAATAAATATAAAAAATATATCCTTAAAAGTTTAAAGTCCTTTAAAAAGAAGAAGGGATCAAAAAATTTAAAACTGAATATACAGTTTTTCTATATAAGAACACTACTTTCAGTTATATTTGGTTTTGTTCAAGTCCACAAAGTAATGTCGAATATTTTCCCACGTTGATTTCTGTAGTTGTCAAAAAATTAATTCTTTCATATTAGAGTAATAATATAATTTTTTCTGGCGGCTCAACTAATAAAGCAATAGAAACAAATTTTAAGTATGTGGTAAATAGTGTCCGACCGAACGGTTCGGTAAAAAGTGAGGTTCGGCCAATGTTCGGTGTTCGGAGAAATTTTGTCCGAACACCGAACGCCGAACTTTTTATAAAATTTTTATTTATCATAATTTTACATCATCAAAAAGTTTTAAAAATGCTGAAAATTTGTTTACAGATGTTATCATACATCCTGGATGTACAATAAATTTCCGATATAGGTACAAAACGCCTTTTTAACTGTTCGTTTTTTCGGTTGATTTGAAAAACTGTAAACCAGAAACTGATTAAAAAGCTAAGAAAAGTGAAACATTTTATCACTTTTTAAATTATGTAGTTTCGATTATAAATCTTTGATCTCATTTGTAATATCGAAATTATCTAGGTCCTTGTTCTAAAACGATCTATACATGTCTGTCTGTCTCTTAAAAGAACGATAGGACCTAAACTATTGTTGCAGTTTGATTGGTATTAAAAATGGAACCAAAATTTCATATGAATCGGTAAATTGAAATTTGTAAGTATTTTAAGTGCCTGTCCACACACGGAAACTTTAGTTGTGAAATTTTTTCTTAACTCTCTTTTAATGTTTCTTTAATGTCTACATATAGAAACTTTTGTTTCAGAAACTACGTGTTAATTGCATTGATTTGTTTTTGTACGAATGAGAAGAATAACAAAACAAAACAAGTTTCCGAGTACGAGAAACCCCGTATCGCGAGAGAGATGAATGATATTTCTTTCTCTCTCACGCAAAATCAAAAGTTTCCCAAAAATAGTTTCCTAGTGTTGACCGGCAGTAAGTATATTTATTATCTTTATATTTATATATATTTTTTATTTTTTTACTGATTCGATAAAATTCATTTTGATTTCGATACATATTTAAAACGAAATTTTGATCACATTGGATCATAATATGATCATGTATATCAATATTATGATAAATACAAACATATGATGAAATATTTTGACGGTATTATATCATTGTCAATAAATTGTTTAAAAACCAAAAACAAAAGTGTTAAGATATATGCATTTCACAAAAATGGTTTGTTATTAGAAATTAATCACTCTCTGGAATTCGGAATTAGTTGATAATTGACCCAATTGCCAATTATCTTCCGGATGTTCATATTTTGGTTTTAAATGTTATAAATTTGTTACTTTTTAATCATAAATGCATTTTTCATTTAAGAAAAAAAGTTCGTGTTCACCGAACTTTGAAAACCGAACAATGTTCGGGTTCGGCCGAACTTTCAAATTTACCGAAGTTCGGGTTCGGTGTTTGGTACCGAACGAAATTTTGAGTTCGGTCGGACTCTAGTGGTAAATAATACATAAAGTTTCAAGTTATATTTATTTAAGAAACAAATAATAGAAATTCTCAAGGATATGAAAGAATGAAATTTTCAAAGGACATTATTTAAAATATTTCGTCCTGAAAAATAAAAACAAAAAATACATTTGATTTCCGGAGATCGTCCTCTGTCATTTGATACCCATATTGACGAAAATTATTCAGTACATATATTTTAATAAATTTTAATATCCTTACAAATTGAAAGTCCTTTCTCCTTTAAAGGAGAAAAGATCACAAAATGAAAAACTAAAAACACAGTTTCACTTTAAATAACCTCCAGTATCATGTGTATATGGTCTCGTTCAAGTCCAATAAAAAAAATGAAAATTGTATCACGGTAAAATATGTATCTATTTCCTACTTAGTTTAAACACAAGTAGGAAAGTATTGTCGGGCATGGCCGACCATATGATACCTTACACCACTGAGTATGTTACAAATTTGGATTATATTTAATAACAAAGCATTTAAGTTGTTTACCTTAATTCCGAAATATTTTAACAACTTGTTGAAAAAAGTGATTTTCTAAAAGAGAGGTTATATGGGGGCAAGGGTAAATATGGGCCTATCCTTATAAATTTTGGTACATGGCTTTACGTTTAGAGTTAGAGTTATGTATGCATGATTTCATAGTGATACTGGTGTTTATTAGTGAATTATTGACCTTCAAGTCATTTTCTGAAGGGGACTTTGTATTGTGGCTAGGGTCAAATAAAGTCCGATAATTAAGAAAATTGGTAGTATTATTAAGACGTATATAGAACTAAGTTTTTTGTAGAGATACTACAATATTTAAGATAATTATGAACTCAAAAGCCCTTTCCAGGGGGTAGGGTTGTATGGGGGCTAGGTGAAATAATGGACCGATTTCAACCATTTTCGTCGTTGGGCCGAAAAACACGCTTAATCGACTCAGAAAATGATTCTGAGTCGATCGGTATACTTTAAGGTGGGTGCAGGACCAATATTTTTGTGCGTTACAAACATCAGCACAAACGTATAATACCCTCCCCACTGTGGTAGTGTAGGGTATAATTATACCAGCGATCAAATTGTAACAGATTTGGACCAATCATTGAAAATTGGTAAACTAGAAGACAATAGATGACAATGCAAATGTTTTGCTTTTAAATAATTTTTATTTCCTTTAATGTCGAGTTCCTTCATTTTTCATTAGTATATTTAAAGTATTTTTAGAAAATTCGAAAATTTGGACATTTTTAATAACAGTTTTTAATAAAAGTTTGTCATGAAAACAATGATGGGAATTTTCATTTGAAATTAGAAAGAAAATTATATTACTCATTTGAATTTCAGAAAGGACAGTGGAAATGTTTCATTCGAAACGAAATGTTTGATTCAAAACGAAACAGTTGAAACTAACTAAAGATTTTAATTTTAGATTATCATTTGAAATTCGAATAAAAACAAATGATATTAATAATAATTAAATTATATTTGATTTTTAATAATGTAATTTCGAATGTAACACAAAAAATTTTTAAAAACGACACCTTCGAATTTTATCTTTTATTAATCTCCAAACAACCAGGACCACCCTAATGTACGTAACGACTACTATAGAGGATTTCGACAATATTCTTCATGAACTTTGAGGATTTTTAATAAAAATACAATGCATAAACAATTTATCTAAGTAAAAAACAATTTTAAGGAAATTAAAATTTTTGCAGCAAATTTTCAACCATTTTTATACCCTTCACCACCATCAGAGGGTATATATAAGTTTGTCATTCCGTGTGTAAAAATATTCATCTGAGACCCAACAAAGCATATATATTCTGGGTCCTTATGAAATTCTGAGTCGATTTAGCTATGTCCGTCTGTCTGTTTGTCTGTCTGGTTAAAACAGGCTCACGTTAAAACTAAGCAAATGACATCAACCAAATTCACTGAGAATATTCATTGTATTGAAAATCAGCAAAATCGGTTCACAACGTAAACAGTTATGAGTAGAA